AGATGTGTTCTGGGGAGATAAAAATGGTGGAGAAGAGACTTAGAAATATAAAGGAATATGAAATACTTTGCCATTAGGTTAAACCTAGGATTTCTTGTAGTGATAATGGTAGGAGGATCTCCAGAGCAAGCCAAGAATGAGTGGGTTACCAAGATTGGATGGTTGAACATACAGTAGAAGAGGAGTGTGATCCCTGGGCGGGAGTGGAAGAATCAGGGAGATAGCTGAGTGGGGGACAATGATGAATTCAGCCAATCAGTGTAGCTGAAACAATGAAATGTTTTACATGAAATGCTGTTGTTAGCACAATTGCCCACTTTTCCCAAATGTAGGATGACTTCTGCTTTCTTTAAAAATTGCTTGTACCTTTTTGATCACAAAGCCTGCCCATTTATTTTCCTGGATGTGTCCTTTTTGAAGGGAGAAAAAGAACAAGTTTGCAGAAAGCACCTGGTTTGGAATCTCTCTTTTATTTTATTCTTTTGTACATGCTGCACACATGGAATCTCATATCTAGTTTGCAAGGAACTAGCTACAAAAATCACCGGCTCCTGTCACAGATTACGTTTTGGATTACATGCAAGGAAGTGATCACATATTTATTTCTTTAAGCACAATGCATCACAGTTTTGAGTTAGCAAAGTTACTTTGTAGGAACATTTTAAGCTATTATTTGAAAGGTCATGGTGGGGATATTTTCTGGTTCTATGACTCGCTTTTCTCAATGACCTGCAAAGTGATGCAATGGATCTTCTAATGTGTATGGCTGAACACAGGGGGCGAATATCATAATGGAAAGAGGTGCTAAGAGGCCACCATTTGACCACTGGAAAAGGGGCGCAAAGAGACCTCCTTTTGACCATTGGAACATCAGGTGGGCCAGCAGGAAGGAGACAGCTTTTAAGAAAGTACGCTGGGAGACAGCAAGAGACAAACTGCTGTGCCCAAGGAGGAAGGTGAGATGGGGTGGATTCTCCCACTTTGACAAGAGGATAACTCTGAAGGTGGACTGCAGGTCCATCAGCAGTTTGGCCTCTCCATCACTTCTGCCCCGGGTTCGGAGTCTCTGTTTTGTGTGTATCTGTGTGCTCAAGGAGAACTGTCCTCTGCAACTCATGGATACGGGTAAAAATTTCCCCTCCCCTTAGAGTATTGCTAAGGAAAGGATAGAGTTCAGTTGACAGAATTCTCATCACCAAAAGACTGGGTTTTCGGGTTTAACTGTACAGGATCTGAATAGGATTTGTCTAGACACACATTGAAAAGCCTTGTTTCTCTTCTTGTGATTGCAGGACCTGAAGTTTGAAAGAAGCCGCCCCCTTTGCCCTCTCCCCCATAAAACCCATAGACCCCGTAAACCTCATGTTCGTCCTTTCCCCCAAGCAAATCCTGCCCTTGTCCCTCTCCCTGACTCAAATCCTCCTCTTGTCCCTCTCCCCGACCTAGACCCTGCTCTTATCCCTCTCCCTGAATCAAATCCTCCTCTTGTCCCTTTCCCCGACCTAGATGCTGCTCTTGTCCCTCTCCCACTTTCCCCCCTCTCCTTGGAGTATTGCTGAGGAAAGGATGGAGTTGCAGTTGACAGAATTCTCATCCCCAAAATACTGGAATTACGGGTTCAACTGTACAGGATCTGAACAGGACTTGTCTACATACCCATTGAAAAGCCTTGTTTCTCTTTTTGAAGGATGACTCAAATGAAGGATGAAGGAAAATGCCCTCTTTCCCCTCTTTCCCCTCTCACCCATAAACCCCATGTTCTTCCTCTCCCCAACCCCAATTCTGCTTTCCCCCTTCTATCCAAACCACAAACCTCTCTTGTCCCTTGGTCCAAACCACCCCCTCCTCTTTCACTTCTGCCCTTACCCTTGTTTCAGCGTCTCCCCCTATTTCAAGAGGACCATCATCACCCACATCTCCAAGGTGAGGGAACTTTTCATTGATATCATATGCTCTAGTGGGCTGTTTTTCTTTCTTACAGGGTTCGCGAAACAGTCCTATCCGAAATGAGACCCACGTTCTTCAGCAGAAGCATGAGGATATTCACCAGTCACTCATTTGACAGGCTAGTGGGGAAAGTCCTTGATCTTAAAATGATCAAAAGCTAGTTTTAAAGGTCTCTCCCAGTTTACAAAATAGTCCAATAAACATAATGTTGACCTCTTGCTTTAACATAAAGAACGTTTGTGGATATGATGAGATGATCATTGGGAAATGTAAGTTGACCAGAAGTAAGATGACTTCCTCTGCTGGGCTTATCCCCAAAAGATTCTTGAACTTGAATATTCTGTAACAAAAGAAAGGGGAGTTTATTCTTATTTTGATGGAGCTTTCTCCTTTCTCTTTTCCTTACAGCACCCTGACCCCAAGATTTCCCCTCAACTGAATTCCATCACATTGTTCTTCAACCCAAGATCATTGCCCTCCAGCTTCCCCCTCCTATATTGAAACGACCATGGAAAATTAGGAAGTGCTTTCGTTCATTGTTTCCTCCTTCCCTTCCAGTCCTTTCTGTCTCCCTCACCTCCCATCTCCTTTCAGAAATATGTCTTGCCCGGGAAGATTATTTTTGTTGTAGGATATAGAGTACAAACAACTCCCCTCAATAGATACAGATTCATTTAATTCCATTTAATGTATGTGTAAATATTATTTACTATTCCATTATTAAACAAATTATTGATACTATATTTTGTATTTATAAATTCTATTCATTGTTTTTATTATATTTAAAATATTAAAATCTCCTATGTAATGTGCATTAAAGTCTATTCAGTTCTTTCTTTATATAAGTATATTTAAAGTGGTCTGTCATTCCAGCTATGATTACATTAGTCAAGCTTATCTGTAATTCCTGGGTTCCCAATCTGTGGTTTGGGGCCTCCAGAGAGGTCATGAAGTGTTTTCTGCGGGGTCACCTTGGTTCTTTTTAATAGCAATTATTTTTATGTTTATTATATTAACTATGGCATACCCAGAGCTGGTTTGTCTTAGTCCTCCTGGCCTGCCAATCGGCCCATTTTCATCCAAACTGGATTTGCAGGCCATCTGGAGTCCTCTGTTCTTTCTGTATCCCTTCGGGGGGGGGATTTTCAAATCATGCCTGTGAAATATAAATATAAATATAAAATGTAGGACATATAGTATAATAAACCACCTTCCAAATAGATCTAGATTCCTTTTTTAGTTTAAAATATCTTATGTTTTTACTATTCCTTTATTTCACAAATTATTAGTACCATATTTTGTATTTATAAATTCTATATAAAATATTAAAGTCTTCTATATAGTGTATGTTAAATTCTACTCAATCCTTCCTTTATATATATTTAAAGTGATCTGTCATTACATTAGTCAAACATCTATTTAATTCATGGGTTCCCAACCTACAGGATTGGACCCCCAAGGGGGTCATAACTTGTTTTCTGAGGGACGTGGTTCTTTTTAGTTGCAATTATTTTTACTTCTGTTATGTTGAATATGGCATAACCAGCGCTGGTTTGTTTTAGTCCTCTTGGCCCGCCGATCAGCCCCTTTTCAACCCAACTGGATTTGCAGGCCATCTGGAGTCTTTTCAGGGGGGTGGATTTTCCCCTCATGCCTGCGCATGGTTTCCAGCCCCTTCCAACGATGCGCTCTGGATCGTTTCTCTCTGCTCCTCCATGTCTGCCTTTGGGGGGACTGAGGTCGGCTTTTTGGACGGGAAGGCTGAGCCGCCTCAAAGAGGGCCTGGATGAGGCGAGCACAGGATGCCTGCTGGGAAAGCTGACCCCCCTCAAGATGGTGGCAGGATTGAACCGTTGTTGCTGCCACAGCCGTGCACCCTTTCTCTCCACTGGAGTCTCTGGCTCTTCTGGGTGGGATGATGGAGTCACAGGGAAGGGAGACCCCTCCGGGTCCCACCCAAGCCGTGGAGGAGGAAGGCAGAAGGGGAGGGAGGAGAACTGGGGTGGGCCCTTGTGAGGGGGGAGTTGATTTGGGCTTGAGGGGGAGGGGCTCTTCACTGAGGGGGAACTTTGTGTGTGTGTGTGTGTGTGGGGTGAGACATGAAGGGTCGTTTCCTCACCCAAAAATGTACAATAATCTCAAAATGTACTGACCTTTTCTTCTCATATTTTATCTGGCAGAGGCAGATTTACAGCCCCCCCACACAATTATTTATTCTTACATTAAATATTAATATTTTACGGTAGAACTCTATTCTGAAAAAAAATATTTTAAAGTGTTTTCCTTTCCCCATTAAAAATGCCTTTTTTACACACATGTGGGGGTGGGGGGGTCACAGGTCTCTTGGCTGTTTATAAAAAAGGGGGGGTGCTTGTTGAAAAAAATATTCAACTGCTTTAGTTCATACACCAGGCTCGTCTGTTGGAATTTTCTTCTGAAAAGTCTCAGTCCTGCAGCTCCAACTCATCGGGGACTCAGGAACCATAATGGTTCACAATTTTCTTTGTGCAGAAGTGCAATATTTCCCCAAGTCTGCAAAGCTTTGACCTTTGGTGCTGGTTCATGGTATGTGGGTAGCCATGAACCACAGACTATCACCCCCCCCAAAAAACCCAACCCCAAACTGGATTGCTGTTTGTTTTTTGGGTTTTGCCACCGGGGAGGGCAGCCACTTACCGTTTCCTCTCACTGCCCCATCATCATCTTGTCTTGTCCTGAAATTGCCATCACACCACCATCTTGGAAAGGCAGGGTTTGCAGCTCCTTGCCCTGAAGCTGAGCCTGCTTCCTCTCAAGATGGTGGCCGTGGAAGGCCTTCCAAGACAAAGCATGTAGGTGTTGGGAGTACAGTTAGGGGGAGTAGCTTTTTTAACTAAGAAGATCATATGGAAAATATTTCTCTGCCCCCCCTCCTTCTCAGCACTTTATCCACATTTAGGACAGTAAAGGAGAACAGGGGGGGGAAGGGGGGAGAAGACACCAAATGTGGACTTTTCATGCTGATAGAAAATTTGTACTCCATTCAGTCTGTCTAAGGTTGGGGGAGACCACCCCTCCCAGTGGGTGGGAGCCTTAGCAGGAATCTTTTATATGCTCCCTTTAAGCCCCTGGCAAGTTATGTAGCTGAAGGAAGGTGAGAGAATGGGGCTAGTAGTAGTAAGACAAGTGGACAGGCTTGCAAGTACTGTATTTGGGATTTTTAGATCAGGCTGATGTGGTTACAGAGCTGATCAGATGACTTCCAAGGATGATGCAGTTTGGATGCTCCAAAGCCCAGAAACTTCCCTGAGCTACACCTGGAAAGGGATCCAAAAGTACACCAGAATCTCCACTTTGAACTGATGGCAGAAAAGAGGAGGTTAGTAAGTTCCCTTCCTCTAGTTTTTATTTGCACCTTTCCTTTAACTGAATTAGGTCTGTGAAGTTATTTCAGACTTACAATAAGCCTTCCCAGGGTTTTCTAGGTACAACGTGTTCAGGATGGTTTAGCCAGTCCTCCCTTTTGGTGACACTCTGAGACCATGACGTTAGCTCAAAGCTACACACAGGTTGGATGTTATCCCAGGAGGCACAGTGGGGGGGGGGTTCAACTACCAGCCCCCAACTCTGCAACCCACTGAGCTGTGTAAAGCCTCACTATTTTTCCTTTGGTTGTTGTGGGTTTTTTGGGCTGTTTGGCTGTGTTCTGTAGGTTTTTCTTCATAACGTTTCGCCAGTCTCTGTGGCCAGCATCTTCCAAGATGCCAGCCACAGAGACTGGCAAAATTTTAGGAAGAAAAACCTCCAAAACCCGGCCAAACAGCCCCCCCCCAAACCCACAACAACCATTGGATCTTGGCCGTGAAAGCCTTCAAGAACATATTCTTCATTTGTTGATGGGCTCATTTCAAATGTTGGATCCCTTCTATATCTTTGTCTCCACAGGTTTCATGCTGTTGTGTTTCAAAGAAGCACACACCTTCCAGAATTAAAGGGCTAAAAAGTTTGTTGTTATGCAGATCCCAGTGTTAGCATGGGTCATCCTTTTATAGCCACATGGCCCTAACAAAGTACATGGACATCTCTTCTCCAAGCAGTAGCATCTTTGATCCCTTCTTCCAGGCAGTATTAGTCATCATTGTTTCCCCAGAAAACCCTCCGTCACCAGAGGGCATTGTGAAACATGATTAGTATGTGCAACCAGCATTATAATCTGCCATTGTAGGAAAAGGAACAGGACAGGAATTACTTTGCCCAGGTTGTCCTCTGATGTGGATCTCTATGTGTTGCTTCTGGCCCTCGAGAGAGAGTTAAAACATCTTTGCTAAAGTCTGAGTCTTAGTTCCTTTTCTTCCAAAAATATTATTACAAAATATAGTGTCAGGTAAAGACTTTTAACTGTATGCTCTTTTGGAGGTCCAAAATACATAGGATCACCCTACATCAGAAACAGTTTGACTGCACAATATAATAGCAGCAACAATGTGGACTAAATGACGATTAGGAATCAGAAAATCCCACAAGTTATTCAATTGAGGAGAGATGATGGAAGAGCTAAACGTCCAATGCTGTGCTGGGTCAAAATCCACTCTCTGCTTTTTTGAGAATCATCTTCCCCATGAATGAAGGTGTCTGTTCTTCTGCCACCAACCTTTCGTTCTCCTTGGGGGGAAATGTACATCACAAATATAAAATAACATATATTGATGTATTTTTTAAAATGAATGACTAGTAGAAAAAAGTCCAAAATAAATGTTCTACTCAGCACTAAGAGTTGATCACAAGATCCCATAGGATCTGTATGTCATGAATTCAGGGCATCTGACCTGCATCCTCATGCCATCTTCTCTTCTTTAACCTCCAGGTTGAAATTATTGAGAGACCTCTTGATGGAGCCCCTACAGAACTGTCAAGTACTTCTTTCCATCAAGTCCTCTGGTAAGTAGCCTTGAATTCATGCAGGAAAAGTGGCACCATCCACAGGGAGGCACAGGTGCAAACACCCTTAAGAAAAAGGAGGAGGAGAATGGGGTGCTTGCCCCACCAAAGAAACAGGATGTTTATACTTTCAGAAATAAAAAGGAAAGCAAAGGGGGACAAAAGATGTTGCCATTTTATATTCCTCACACTCAGCAGCACCTTTAGGTGTAGGTTTCAGAGCCTTCTAAATTTTGACAGGCAAAGCCCTGGCTGCCTTGTCTGAGTGACAGTCCTGGGAAGTTCCATTTCATCCCACTGAAAAATCCCAGTACACTCCCTGTATCAAAAGGAACTTGGTTCTAAGAAGATCTACTTCAATTTTGACAGAGGAACATCTGCAAAACAGAGACATTGAGGAGCAGCCGAGATCCTCCACAATCTTGGTGAGATAAAAACCTATCAGATGTTTCACATGAAATAATCTTTGAACTTCGTCTTAGATTTCTGAAAGAACCCCCACATTTACAATGTTTTATTTCGAATAGTGAACTCATGAGGCTGCAGCATCCATGGGCCTTTAGTGCATCATGTGAAGGACTTTTACCACCATCTTTTCTTACATGCTGTGCCACAAAGGGAAACACTAGTTGGGGTTCCAGGCAGACACCACGTCGAAAACTCGACAGACTGTGTCTCAGTCCATGTGGACCAAGGAATATTGTCTGTAACTTCAAGTCACTTTCAACCTCTGGAGACCCACATAGGGTCTTCAAGGTATCTAAGATGTTCAAGGAGTGGTTTTATTGGTGCCACCATCATTACCACCTCATGAGTATACATAGTTTAGATGGGATTTGACCCCTAGTCTCCTGACTTTCTTGTAAGATCACTGTTATGTGCTAACCCATGATAGAGAGGTATTCTGGGGAGATTAAAATGGCGAAGAGTGAAATGGCGAAGAGTGAAGAGATTTAATATCAAGGATGATGAGTAGAATAGGAATACAGAAGCATAGGATGATGGCCTAGAATGAGTCAGATTACCAGTTCACCTAACCTGGTATGGCAGCAGTTCTCCAGGGTTTCAGGAATGATTCTTTTTGAATCCTACTTCGATGTTCTTAGTGGTCTCTTGTGGCCTCTCTATCCTTCCTCGATGTGTCTTTCTAGAAGAGAAAAAAAGCAGCAGAGATATTTTGCCTAAATTGCAGAAAGCATCTGGTTTGGAATAGCTCTTTCTCTTGTACTTAGCTAAAGGCATGGAATCTCATATCCAGTTTGCAAGGAACTAGCTACAATAATCACCGGCCCCTGTCACAGATTACGTTTTGGGTTACATGCAGCAAGCAATCATGTATTTATTTTTTTTAGCAGAATGCACCACATTTTTGAGTTACCAAAGTTACTTTGTAGGAACATTTCAAGCTATTATTAGAAAGGTCATGGTGGATATTTTTTCGGGTTCTATGACTTGTTTTTCTCAATGACCTGCAAAATAATGCAATGGATCTCTTACTTTGTCTTGCTGAACACAGGGGACGAATATCAGAATGGAAAGAGGCCACCTTTTGACCACTGGTGTCTCCAGAATGGATAGAGGCGCTAAGAGGCCACCCTTTGACCACTGGGCCAGCTAAGATGGGCCAGCAGAAAAGAGAACAATTTGAGAACAATTTTAAGAAACAACGCCGGGAGAAGGCAAGAGACAAACTGCTGCGCCGAAGGAGGAAGGTGAGATGGGGTGAATTCTCCCACTTTTAACAAGATGACAACTCTGAACGTGGACTGCAGGTCCATCAGCAGTTGGGCCTCTCCATCACTTCTGCCCTGGTTTAGGAGTCTCTGTTTTTGGGTGTGTCTGTGTGCCCAAGGAGAACTGTCCTCTGCAACTCCTGGATACGAGCAGTTCCCCCCTCCCCTTAGAGGAAGAAGGAGCCCTTCTTCCAAGCAGCATGGAGTCATCTTTGTCTTCCCAGTAAACCCTCCAACGCCAGGTGGCATTGTGAAACATCATCAGTGTGTGCCACCAGTAGGAGGTGGTAAGCCCACTGGGACCCACCCTTGTAGAACAAGGAACAGCCCATGTATTACTTGATTCAAAGTTGTTCTCTAATGTGGATGTGTCCTTCTTCAAGGGGAAAAACACCTGTGATATTTTGCAAAAATTGCAGAAAGCTTCTGGTTGGGAATAGCTCTTCCTCTTGGACTTGGAAGCAGACGTGGGATCTCGTATCTAGTTTGCAAGGAACGAGCGACATCCTTCATCAGCCCTTGTCACAGGCTTTATTTTGGGTTACCCAGGTCCAGTGGAAGCGCAGCAAGTGACAGATTACATTTTGGGTTATGTAGTGACAGTGAAAGTGCAGCACGCACACGCACACGCACACGCACAAGCACAATGCATCACATTTTTGAGTTAACAAATCACTTTGTGGGGAGGTTTCAAAGTAACAGAAAGTTCATGGTGGATATTTTTTCGGGTTCTATGACTCGCTTTTCTCAATGACCTGCAAAATAATGCAATGGATCTCTTACTCTGTCTTGCTGAACACAGGGGACGAATATCAGAATGGAAAGAGGCGCTAAGAGGCCACGCTTTGACCACTGGAGTCTAAGATGGGCCAGCAGGAAGGAAAACAATTTTAACAAACAACGCAGGGAGACAGCAAGAGACAAACTGCTGTGCCCAAGGAGGAAGGTGAGATGGGGTGGATTCTCCCACTTTGATTAGAGGATAATTCTGAACCAGGACTGCAGGTCCATTAGCAGGTTGGCCTCTCCATCACTTCTGCCCTGGGTTGGGAGTCTCTGTTTTGTGTGTGTCTGTGTGCCCAAGGAGAACTGTCCTCTGCAACTCATGGATACCGGTAAATATTTCCCCTCCCCTTAGAGTATTGCTAAGGAAAGGATGGAGTTGCAGTTGACAGACTTCTCATCCCCAAAAGACTGGGTTTATGGGTTCAACTGTACAGGATCTGAATAGGATTTGTCTACATACCCACTGAAAAGCCTTGTTTCTCTTCTTGTGATTGCAGGACTTGAAGGATGAAGGAAAATGCCCTCTCTCCCCTCTCACCTGTAAACCCCATGTTCTTCCTCTCCCCAACCCAAATCCTGCTCTTCCCCCTCTATCCAATCCCCAAACCCCTCTTGTCCCTTGGTCCAACTCACCCCCTGCTCTTTCACTTCTGCCCTTACCCTTGTTCCGGCTTCTCCCCCTACTTCGAGAGGAGTGCCATCTCCCAAATCTACCAGCTGAGGTAACTTCCCAACGATTTCAAACCCCCTCTAGTGCAGTGGTCCCCAACCTTTTTGGGACAGCAAACTGGTTGGGGTGGTTGGGCTCCGTGCGGGGTTGTGTGTTGCCCTCGCCCCCCCCTCGAGCAAGCAAGGGGTGGGGGGACTGTGGGGCGGAGATCCATCTCCACAGCCCAGTTCCAGGAAGGCCACGGACTGGCACCAGGCCACGGACTGGGGGTTGGGGACCCCAGCTTTAGTGGTCTGTTTTTCTTTCTTGCAGGGTTCGTGAAACAGTCCTATCGAAAATGAGACCCACGTTCTTCAGCAGAAGCATAAGGGTATTCACTAGTCACTCATTTGATAGGCTAGTTGGGAAAGTCCTTGATCTTAAAAGGATTAAAAGCTAGTTTTAAAGGTCTTTCCCAGTTTACAGAATAGTCCAATGAATACAAGATAGATCTATTGCTTTAAAATCAGGAATTCTTGTGGATATGAGGAGATGAACATTAGGAAATGTAGGTTGACCAGAAGTAAGATTACTTCTTCTGCTGGGCTTATCCCAAAAAGATTCTTTAACATGGATGTTTTGTAACAAAAGAAAAGGGAGTTTATTCTTATTTTGATGAAGTTTTTTCCTTTTCTCTTTTCCCTACAGGCAACATGACCAGAAGATTTCCTCACAACCAGATTCCATCACATTGTCTTCAAGATCATTGCCCTCTGGCCTTCCCTCCTGCATTGAAAAAACCATTCCTTGTTTCCCCCTTCCTTTATATCTCTCTCACTTCCTTGGATACTATTATCGTAGGGGTGGCAAACTTTTTTGGGCTCACATGCCCAAACTGGGGGGAGGGAAGGAATAGTGGAGAGTGTGGAACCGGAAGTGGTGGTGGCGGTGGCAGAAGGGGGAATCCCGGCATGGAGTTGCTTCAAGACTCCACTCCAGATCCGCTGCCAACACCATGGTCTTGTATGCACACGCACTTGATGAAGCCCTTGCAGGGGTGTTGTTCTCCTCCACCTTCTGCCTGCCTCCAGCGCCGCCCCCTTTTTCTCTCCAGCCCCACCTGGGACTTTGTCCCTTTAAGGGAGGGAGGCAGAAGGCAAGATTTTCTTTGTTTTCATCCACTTGCAGGATTCAAGGGAAGGTAGGGTCTCCTTACTCCTCCCCCTACACATACATACACCTCCTCAGGTTTGGCTGTGTCGGGCAGGGGGAGTAGCGATCTGGTGACCTATGGCTCGCATGCCGGCAGAAAGGACTCTGCGTGCCAGCTGTGCCATCAATGATATAGAGAATAAGCAAAAACCCCCCATCAATAGAAACCTACTGCTTTTATTCCATTTATAATATGTTAAATGTTATTTGGTAGTACATTATTAAACAAATTATTGATATTGTATTTTAATTTATAAATTCTATTTATTGTTTTATTATATTTAAAATATTAAAGTTTCCTATATAATATACATTAAAGTCTATTCAATCCTTTCTTTATGTATATTTCAAACGGTCTGTCATTCAAGCTATGATTAAATTAGTCAAGCTTATCTGAAATGCATGAGTTCCCAGCCTGGGGGTCAGAACCCAAAAATGGTCATGAAGTGTTTTCTCCAGGGTCACCATGGTTATTTTTAATTGCAATTATTTTTACTTTTCTTATATTAAATATGGTATACCCAGCCCTGCTTTATTTTATTCTTCTTGGCCCACAGATCATTTTGATCTGAACTAGAATTGTGGCAGTCTAGAGTCCTGAATTATTCTTGTGTCCCTTCAGGTAGATTTTCCATTTATGCATTACTCCCCCACCTCCGAAAGAACCACTCTTGCTTCTTTCTCTTCACCAAGAGTTTTTTTTTTTGGGGGGGGAGACATGAAGGGAGGGTCATTTCCATAGCCAAAAGAATAAACTCAAAGTTCATTGATATTTTTTTCTTCTCTATCTGGCAGAGGGTGACTTCCAGCCCCTCCTAATTGTGAATTATTGCATTAACATTTTAGGTATAGAAGGATATTCCAAAAAGTCTGTTTAATGTGTTTTCTTTACCCCATTAAAATGCATTCTTATACAAATGTTCTAGGGGGAATCATAGGTTACTTGGCTATTATAAAAGGGTGTTATGACTCGAAAAAGGTTGGCTAACACCTGCAAGAAGGTGCCCAGTGTGCTGTAGTGGATAGAGTGACAGACTAGGAGTTTGGAAACCAGGGTTTGAATCCGCCCCCCTTGGCCATGGAAACTTACTGAGGAGAGTAGAAATGATAAAAATCACTCCTCAAATATCTCCCTTATCTTGGAAGCCCTGTTAGGGTATTACAAGTCAGTTCTGACTTGACAGCACAAAACTAAACAACATTTGCTAATGGAAGAGTGACCGATATGTTAGGATTGGTATCTAAATACAGTATGTGGGGAGGAGGATAAATTTTTAGAAAAGCAATAACAGCATTTCCCATTCAATAGACCGGTTCAGTCAAGTCCTATAGAAACCAGCTTCTATAGGGTTGCTATGCAAATGCTCAGAAAACAACATTGTGCCAAACGCCACCCTCCATTCCAGAGGAAATACAAAATAATATACCAGATGTCTCAGAGGGAAGCTTATGGAAGAAGCTATCCATAATGAGATGATTGTTTCTGGGTGCAAGGGAATTTCTGTTAAGATAAGTGATTAACGGGAACATTAATCTGGCAGAAAGGCTCTATCAGGAAAAGGCCTTAGATTCACTTGCTCCCTCATTCATGGACTCTGGGGTTACAACTAGGGAAAGTCAACTGGGGCATCTCTCCAGGACTCCACATTTAGAGAGCATGTTTCTTCCCCAGCTGCACACAACTAAGGCAACCCAACAAGACTTTCAGGATTAGCTCAACAACCTGATCTGTTGCTAGATGAAAAGACATTGGTAGAGAACGCCTCTGGGATGGATCTGGTAGAGGAGGAGGAGGACGGATAAAGATGGATAGCTGGTTTACAGGACTAGGAATAAACAAGGCATGCCCTGTAGGATTTGATTGATTTATTTGATCTACCCAGGATGTGACAGTCCTTGCCTTGGAAGAACACTTTATGCAGCTTGCCTCGGGTGCCCCAATGGCTAGTTATGGCTTTGCGATGCACTAAGTCTCTCTGGCACAGAATTCGAAGTCCTTCACCAAATGAAACATCCTAGGATTCGACAGGATGGAGGTGAGCCAGTGTGAGGGGTCAAATTGCCATCACTTAAAGATTTCGAAACTCCCTGGAGGTCAGGCTGGCTCCATCTTTGCTGTCCTTCCAAAAGCAGGTAAAGACCTTTATCTTCAGGCAAGCTTTCCCTCATTAACCAGCTGCCTGAGT